GCCTGCATGAATCTTCACCAGTGACAGTGTAATTATTATAGGTATAGCACCAGTGAAGACTGGACTTGGATCAAAAGCTTCGCCAAAGCCGAGGCAAAGAAATAGACTTGTCCACAAAACACAACGCAACACAACACAACACAACACAACACAACACAACACAACACAACACAACAAAAAATTATATTTATTTTTACCATGCAAACCTACAATGTCATGGATCTTATTGTGCTTTATAACAATGGTATCAAGATAACGAAACATTTTTAAAGCAAACACACTAATTATTAACAAAAAAAATAAAATGCGCGATATCGATATAGCGACTATCTTTTTATCTCCAAATTACGATAAATGGAAATATTTTGAAAGTACTTTAAATGTATTTTTAACTTTGGTTTAATTGCCTGAATGTCTATATACAAAATAATTGCCTTCCGTGATATTTGCTTATGGGCATGGCCATGAAAACAGAAGAGTATACTGGCAACGAATTCAAATTGAAGTCAGCATTTTAAGGTGGGTCCCTACAGTTATTTTTGTTTAAGCAATAATTCCGTAAAACAGGCTTATTCGTGCAGAACGCGAATTCTTTTCGAATTGGTGGCAATATTGGTCACCTAAGGAATATTTCGAACTAGATTTCGACGATGTCAATGTTCCCATAGCAACATGACGACAGCATAAAGCCTTCCAATTTAACCCATAAATGTGCCGCTATCTCAAAAACGATTACGGTGACCTATCTTTTTTATTTCATATATCAATAAGGAATGATGCTTTGCAACTGTGGTGAAAGTTTAAAAAAATTCTGTAGTGTGTGTTTTTTTTAAAAGCGAAAAATTTATTGCAAAATTTCCACACTACAGATTTTTTTTAAATTTGAAATTTATAAAATTTACCGCAAAATAAATTCGTGGTCAAAATTTGAAGATAGGTCACCGATGAAACTAATGAGTAAAATGGAAATAAAGTTAGAAAATAGCCTCCTGTAACTCGAGAAATTCCCTTATTGAAAAGCGTCGCTGACTAGTAAAAGATTGTACGCGGGCGCAGAACGAGTTTTCATTCAGCAAAATCGAGCCGCAATGTTGTTTTTACTGTTTTGTTTTTGTCAACTTTTCGATTTATTTGAGTGCTATGGACAGCCAAGGATTATTGTGAAGGATTAAGTCGATGAAAACAAGGTCGAAGCTAATTGAATCCTGCCGTTTACTCAATATATGAGCTGTAACAGCCTATTAACAGGTTGACGTGTTTTTTCATGTTTGGTTTTGTACTTTTTGCTAAAAATGAACAATTTGGCTATGAAACTGAAATATTTTTCTGTTTACATATAATCACTTTAATTTTGTAGAAACACGACAAAAAACGTGAACGTTTTCTTGAGAAGTAAACAACTTTTTAAACGTTTGTATGCAATTTTGCAAATGTTTTACAGTTGAGTCAGTTGACAGTGTATAAAAAAAATTTAAAATATTGTTGCGTAGCTATTTTTGGTCTAGTTATTATTCGTATCATATGTAGAATTGCTGCATAGACTCGCAAGTGATTTGGCACTCAAAACGAAGTATTATTCAACTCTTTTTTCCATTAGAAACCTTTCAGAAATAGCTTTATTTTTAAAAAAAGCATGGTCAATTTTTGTTTTGTTTTGATCATGCAGTTGCGTGAGATAGTTCACGTACTTGTCCCGCGAACATCCCGCACGGAACTGTAGGGAGCCTCCTTAAGCAAAAGGTTCTTTCTGTAAAACTGTAAAATAAGTTAGCTACTGTACAACCTTAACTTTTCTCAAGATATTTTAGTTTCATTTGATATGTATAAATGAAATAACTCTATTGTAATTACAAGCGAATAAAATATTATTTTCAGCAGTCTCGTCAAAGGTTTTAAAATGATGAAATCATTGTTGATTCCTTTCACCGACTTGCATACACAACGTTATGCAGCAAGCAGGCGTTCTTGGTTTACAAAGCCGTGGGTTTAGTCAAGGTTTCCTCCTGTAGCTGGTAACACTGGACCAATGAAGAATGGTCCTTGCTGGACCTTTAAGAAGAAGAGTTTAGAACTGAAAGTATACAAGCTAAGATTTCCTATATAGGGTGTATAAAAAAAAAAGGTAATCGAACTTCAGCGCGCTATTGTATCTGCATTACTATGCGTGTAACGATATTTTTTCACATTCGGAAAGATCATGCTTTTAGCTGTTGAATGACATCTTCTTCATGCCAAATGGATAAACATGAGCAAATAGGAATCCGATAAAAAATATTAGTCAGAATCGCATATTTTCACCGTTGAGAGTTTGGTCTAAAATCATTGAAAATGAACCCCCTTTGGTACTTAAGTTGATGAGTTTCACTTCAATAAACGACGCACATATTCATAATTATTATTAAGTAGGAATAAATCTTAGCTAAGCTAAGCTACAGCATGTTCGTGATTAATTGCTTTTTCTTTTGTTATGCATTGTTTTAATTAGGCACAGAGGTGAAAATATGCGATTTTGACTAACATTTTTAGTCGGCCCGAACATGCTTATTTTTTCTCCACTTGGCACTTGGTCATAGATTAGGAAATGAATAGATGGCTCACTCCTTTGATGTTTTTGACGCGGCCGGCACCCACGCATGTTCTTGCCAGAGTAATGGCGGCCTAGCAAGTAACTGTAGTAAAATGCATTGTAAAATTGACATCGGTTCTACTAAATCCTGTATTTTTATAATTCTGATTTATTTTGCCATTAAACTCCACGAAAGCGGAAAAATAGAGGATTTAGTAGCACGGATATCAATTTCACAATACATTTTATTATATAGTTCTTGCTAGGCCGCCATTACTCTGGCAAGAACATGCGTGGGTGCCGGCAGCGTCAAAAACATCAAAGGAGTGAGCCATCTATTCATTTCTTAATCTATGACTTGGCATGAAAAGCATGTCATTCAATAGCTAAAAGCTTGATCTTTCCGAATATGAAAACCAATTGTTCATACGCCGAGTAATTCACGTATAATAGCGCGCTGAAGTTCGATTACCTTTTTTTTATACACCCTGTATATAGCTCCTGTATACATAATAAAGGCTTAAGTATTTTTATAATAACAAACGGCTGAAGTATTTTGTTTTTAATTTTCTTTGTTTATACTGAAAAAGAGCGGAGAAATTTTTACAGACAGGATGTCTGTACTCCCCCACAAGCTTGCATTAATAATTGTTATACATGCAGTATAGAAATTCTTCAGAGAGATAAGTTAAATGCTTCTCCACAAGCAGTTAAATGCTTAATGCTTCTCAACGAAATTCTGCCCCCTTGCCCTCTTGTCGTTATAAGAAAAATGACGGTTACGTACGGTTTTCACGAAGAAAATACTAGCCATCTTTACTGCTCATAGTATAGTTTCGTACCACAAGATGTGTCACTCATCGGATAAATTAGCCTTAAGGCCAACCTCGTGCAGTTGACGAGGTTTCCTTAATAGGCCGTCGTCTAGTGCCCCCAAAAGATGGCTAGAAAACGATTTTCGTTGCACACCTCTTTAAACTAAAAGAAAATTACATATTCTTATAGATTAAGTGACGCTGAATCCAAATCTAAAAAGTTCTTGCGGGTTCACCCTGCAGTTTTTTTGTAAAT